CAGATTATCCTAAATAGATTTCTTCATTTGAGTTCATTTCTTTTTTTCCTTTCAAACTGGACTTGATAATGACATTCTTGCATGTATCAGGCTCGAAAAAAGATGGCTAAGATTATTCAAGATGTTGTAGATGGAAGAAGGGCAAGAAAAGCGAATAATCTATCACGGGAAAGAACAGATTTGATGGATTTGTTAATGGAAGTTGAAGATGAGAATGGTAAAACATTAGATAATGAGGAGATAATAGACATAATTCTCATGTACTTAAATGCAGGACATGAATCTTCAGCCCATGCCACTTTGTGGGCTATTCTCTTCTTACATGAACGTCCAGAATACTACCAAAAAGCCAAGGTGGGTGCATATCAATAGTGGTTTGATGCATTTTGAACATTTTTACTAGTCTTCATTTTCCAAAACTGATAACTGTCTTCTTTTTTTTTGGGTTAAATTTGTTGTTCTGTTTTGTTAGTTCTTCTGAGTGTTGTACTTGTAAAGAAATTGTTAGTGTAAAACTCAACTGCATGTTTTCCTGCAGTTGCTATCTTATCTTGGTTTCTTTTCAAACTTTTGGAAGCTAATTTCTAGATGTTGTTATGTTTCAGGCAGAGCAAATGGAGATTCTGAAAAGGGCATCATCACCAGAAGCGGGATTGGACTTTAAAGAAACTAAACAGATGGAATATCTATCCAAGGTATGTTTTCTGTGGCTATTGAATCCTAGAGAGGGTGATTTATTTTCCTCTGATACCCAAGTCATGCCCTCAGATTTGAACTTCAACTAGCTCTACAGCTAATAGAAATGTAAGTAATACGTAACATATTTCGACAATATAGGTCATCGACGAAACACTGCGCGTTGTTAACATCTCATTATATAGCTACCGGGAGGCTACAAGTGATGCGAACGTCGCTGGTAAATTTCTCTACTTTCCCCCTTTCTTGTTTCATCTGTTTCTTGTACAGAAAGAAACTTACTAGAAGATGATCTGCTTTCAAGGTTATACAATACCAAAGGGCTGGAAAGTAATGATGTGGTACAGAGGTGTTCATTTGAACCCAGAATATTATCCGGATCCAAAGGAGTTTAATCCCTCAAGATGGAATGTAAGCAAGAAAATGCATATAATTGAATGTAATTTTTAATTAATAGCAAATGCATGTGATACAAGATGTGGGATTTTTTACTGTTTATTTTGTTTTTGTAGGAAAATAAAGGCAAGGCAGGGACTTTCATTCCCTTTGGAATAGGAAGTAGGCTATGTCCTGGAAGTGATTTGACCAAGCTTGAAATTTATGTATTTCTTCACTATTTTCTCCTTCATTACGAGTGAGTTTCCTTGCTTTCCATTTGTTCTTTCTTTCCACTTTTCTTTGAAACAACTAACTTCAAAGTCATGAATATAATCTGTAAGGTTCCACTTGGACATTTGGATTTATAAGATGTAGGATTTGTATCCCTCATTTTAAATTCATACGTAGTCAAAATGGAATAAAATTTGTGGAAGGTGAGATTTCAAATCTAAGAGTTTTAGTTATATTGTATGTGACATGTCCAATAGAAATGGTAAATATGGAAGGTGAGATTTTAAATCAAAGAATTTTGTTGTATAGTAAATTTGGTTTAAGGAAATGTTAACAATTTTAATTGCAATGGTCCCTGAATATGTAACTAAGTTTCATTTTGGATGTCAATGTGGCGGTCAAAATAGGTAGGTTGTTTGCGTGGTGATTAATTTGTACATGAATTGATAGTTCTACACTTCAAATTGACGGTTGACACAATTGGAGGACGCTAAAAGTTCAAATTTGAATTGAAAGACCAAAATAAAACTCGAGTACAAGTTCAGGGACCATAACAGTTAAAAATTGGGGTTGTCCAATATAGGTCCCTACAATTTCTATTTCCTAGACATATACCCATCATTCTATAAATCTATGTGTAAAACCCAATTTCAAACTTAAATGACCAGTAAGATATAAGAGGTCGTAGTATTCCTATGTTTTTACATCCTTGCCATCATACTTCATATTTTATTTATAATTAATTCCAAGCATTTCATTAACTGCTATAATTGTAATTAAAACTCCCTATTAATAGCATATCAATCACCCCATTTCTTTTGGTTGCCATTCCCTCTAACATATCGCCCCCTAAAATTGCAAACCAAAAATATATATATGTAAATTACATGTCTAATAATGTACATATGAAAAATATAAATATAAATATATAGGTATATTATTTACCAAATTTTTTT